AGCCACTGTCACCTATTGGACCTCATAGTACAGCTTGCAATTGGTTTCCCAGTTGGGTTCCCTGCTTCCTCTGTTGCCTTARTCACCTTTCTACCCAGCAGAGTGATCTTCTGAAAATGTAAAGCAGACCACCTTACTCCCTAGTTAAAACCCTTCAAAAGCTTCCCCTTGCTTTTTGAACAAAATCCTAAAATTCTCACCATGAAGCCATGTGACCTGGCCCCTTCCTTCTCTGTGATCTTTCTTTACCGCTCTCAGCCACCTGGTCTTGCTGTTCTTGAATGAGCTGAACTGTCTATAGCGGCCGGCGCCTCCTGCCTGTGCTGGTCCCTCTGTGTGGAAGCGTCTTTCTTTCCTGTTGGCAGGAATTGTCATAATTCAGTTCTTCAGTTCTTGGTTTCTTTTGCCTCCCAGAGAATCCCCCTCCCTGACCACCCCATCTGAAGTAGCCCTTTCCACCAATCATATCACACCCGTCACTTTAGCTTAGTTTCTTTGTTCTCTGTTAACTTGATGCTATCTGAAATTATCTTGTTTGGATATTTGTTTGCTTCAGGGGTTTCCATTTCAGTTCTTTTGGATGTCAAATAACCAACATGTCAGTGTCTGAGGCCAGTCCTCTGGGTTTGAGACGATAGGAAATGGTGGAGGCTGCAGGGAGCTGAGGGCATACGCCCTGGTTGTGGGGCAGCAGGTGACTACTACCTATTATTGTTGAAGGATCTAGCACATGTTGCCTGTTTCAGAGAATCTCGGTTTTGGCAATGTACTAAAAAATAAAAACATGAAAATTAAGAACTGTATGGACCACACAAAACACTGAGGTGACCAGATGCAGGCCACTTGTCTCTCGTCAGCGTGTGGACTGTAGGACCCACTGCAGTGTGAACTGCACAGGGACAAAATCCTTGTCTGTCTTCTTTGTTCTGGGTCCTGAGCACAGTAGCTAGGACTAAGTAAGCCTTCAATAAATGTTGCACTCAGAATAGGGGCAAGTGGTGGGTGGACACCTTGGTATATTCTTGTTCTTACACTTGTATGGTTTTATGTTCCTGATAACAGACTTCTGACTCATAATACTGTGCACATGGAGCTGGTGAATATTTACTTTTGACTGCCAGAAGATTGAGACTAAAAAAACTCTTTGCACACCTGTTTTGAGAAGCAGCTCTGGCATTACTCCCATAGTACACCCAAGAGGAAGTGACCGTAGAATGTTGAGTTACTGAAGTCAGAAGTCTTCAGTTCCCGTTTCTGCTGGGGCCTGAAGCAGGTAGATCACTTGACCTCTGGGTTTGTTTTTTCATCTGTAAAATGGGAATAAGTCCTATCATGTCCACTTGCCATGTTGTGAGTTTCTAATGAGTGAAAACACTACAAAAGGTCAGAAACTTTCTGGGGCCAGACAGCTCCACTCAGTAAAGATGCAGCTGCTTCTCTTGCAACCAGGAAGTGTCTGGATCCTAACGTAGAGAGGAGGCTGCCCAGTTGCTTTTTAGCAAGACTTGGGTGCAGACAGCATTACTATTTTTAAATTACTATTTTAACTTCGGTGGGTTCTAAATTTTTTCAAAATAAAGTGTTTGGAAAATATATATTTTTTTGAAGTTGAACACAATACCTTTATTTTTATGTGGTGCCGAGGATCGAACCCAAGGTGAGGTGAGTGCTCTACCCCTGAGCCATAACCTCAGCCCCTGGAAAATATTTTAAATGACTGATAAAATCATCAAAATTGAATAAAACAAGCACACAGTTTAAGGCCTATTGATAGTCTTGGTAAATTTCTGTTCAGGTAACAAGAGCCCTGTGGGTGTTTACAGGACCATGATCCTCCTCAGAGATCTTAAGGAAAGGGGCGAGGGAACCACTGAGGTTGGGCCTTCAAGTATTTAATGAGAAACCTGCGTTACGCAGGGCTCTGTACTCTGTGCTAGAAATAATCAGTGAACAGGCCATGTTGCCGCCTTGATGGAGCTACTCCAAAGACAAAGTGTCTGAAATGGTGACGAATGCTCTGGAGAAAAATGGGAAAGGGGACAGAAATGAGTGTGGGTCTGGAAGCCCAGGGAGCGCTGCATGGAGAAGACATTTGAGTAAAGACCTTAAGGTGGCCTGAGCCAGCTTTTTACCTGAGACAAAAACCTGAGAAAATAGAAGAGGAAAGATAATTTTATCTCCTGGTTCAGAGGTTTTAGTCCATGGCTTGTGGGCTCCATTGCTACCGGCCTGTGTGGGGCAGAGGGCCTGTAGGGCAGAGTGTCCTGGTTGAGGGGTGTGATGGAGCAGAGCCAGAGCTGGGGACAAGACCCTGAAGGCAACCCCCGCCAAGGACCCACTCTTCATGGATTCTGTGACTCCATGATGGATGAGATCAGGGCCTTCATGATCAAATCACTTTCCCCAAAGCTCCACCTTCTGAACATAGCTGCATTCAAGACTGACATGAGCTTTTGGGGGACACTGCAGTTGTGAATCATGGAAGAACCTGAAGTGCAAGGTCTCTGAGGATGGAGCTTGACTAGGTGTTTTCAGATGAGCAAGGCCAGTCTCAGCCATAGCCAGGTGGAGTTGTAGGAGGAAAGGGGAGAGCATTGACGGGAAGAGGACCATAGGGCTACTGTAGGCCATTGTAGCTTTCACTCTGAGAAGGGAAGCAGTTGCATTGAATGCAAGTTGGCTATGAACTCAAAAAGTGCCTATGGGTAATAGTTTGTAGGTTTCCACTTTGGTTACACAGAGCACAGCACAGAGGAAAGGGTCAAGGGAACCACTGAGGTTGGGCTTTTGGGTATTTAATGAGAATTTGCATAGTGCCAGGCTCTGTTCTCCGTGCTGTTGTGGGAGAAGAGGTAAGAAATGGAGGGCCAAGTCGACATATAGGAGGAAGCAGGCATGTCCTTAGGGCAGTGGGTAGCCCAGGGAAGGTGATGGGCAAGATGAGCTGAAGGAGACATGGAAGTAGGAGGCTAGAGCAGCTGAGGAACAGAAGCTACAGGGGCCTAGGAGTGTGCAGAGCACTTACAGGCCCTGGTTAGATGCCCAGTGTTCCCCCCACCTCATGTCCCCTGCCCCCTTCCCCCCCTGCACACACACACTCCTCCCAACAGAAGAGAAACCTCAGGGTGAAGGCTGGCCAGGAGTTGACCAGAGTGAGAGAAGTTGGTGTAATTTTCAGGTGGTGGCCTGTATCTGAACCATGGGGGTTAGGGATGGGACTGAAGACCCAACAGCTGGTTTGACTCATGGCACTTGAGTTCCACCATGCATTTCATTTTCCTATTGCTTTCTTTACTACCACCTTGAGGGCAGGGAGTAAGTCTTAGTCATCTTTGCGTCACCCACAGTTTCACTGCTAGAGGGTATTTAGCAGGTGCTCTGGCCACATGTGAGTTTGGTTATTTTGGATCAGCTAGGTTTAAAAAACTGATGTGTCACCTCCAATCCTATTGTTTCTAGATTCATCTTTTCTCTCCATGTGCTAGTTTGGCTCTTTCATTCGTCAGCCAGGCTGAAGCTCTTTCTGACTCAGTCACCAGCAAGAGAACAAATGTTTATCAAGCCATGACATTTGTCAATCAGGAAAGGGGACAGTCTTACCTAAGGCTTGGTCAAGTTCAGGGATTTCTGTGGAGCAGAGAAAAAGAAGTTTATTTAAAGGGCCAGGTGTGCATACCTGTAATCCTAGTGATGTGATGCCAGCTGCTGGGGAAGGAAGATTGAAAGTTCAAGGCCAGACTGGGCAATTTAGCTAGGCCCTTGTCTCAAAGAGTTGGAGATGAAGGTCAATGGTGGAATGCCTCTGGGTTCAATTCCCAGTGCCGGGAAGGGAGCAGAGGTTTTTCTAGAGGTGGGGAAAACAACCACTACAGCCCGCTTCCTGTGTCTCCTGAAACAGCTGCCACAGGACTCTTCACCTACTATAGGCATCAGTACATGCCTGCTTGCCTGCCCACGCATGGGCCAGGGCAAAAAGCCAAGACTTGCACTAAAGAGTCATCGTTTACCCACATATTCATTGTGCACCTACAGTGTCTGTGGACGCAGTCTTTACAGTAACAGCATCTACTATTTTCAGAGATAGCTTCAAGGTCATTTTCTCTAGATTATGTTATCCTAGTACCTTGTATTTCCCTTAACCAAGCATTTGTCAAAAGGCATTTATTTTATTTTTGTATTTGTAGTTGTTAATGGACCTTTTTTATTCATTTGCAGTGCTGAGAATTGAACCCAGTGCCTCACACATGCTAGGCAAGCCCTCTGCCACTGAGTCACAACCCCAGCCCCTCAAAAGGCATTTTAAATACTTAATTTCTGGTCTACATGTTCTATTGAACCAGAAGCTCTTTGAAAACAAAACCACTATGTTCTCAGCATTAGGTACAGAGCCTTCCATAAATCAGGCAGCATTTAATCAACAATTGCTGAATTTCATACTTAAGACTATACTTAAGTACAAGCAAGGTAGAACCCTAGGCTATCTGGGAAAGGCTGGAGTTTGAACTGGATGCTGGAAAAAGTAGTATATTTATCAGATGAAGAGATAAAGAGAATTGCAGGTGATGAACAGGTGTGTGCAAAGGCTGGAAGCCATGCAGTAGATAGGTGTGAAACTTCCTGTGGTTGGGGCACAGTCGTGTATCTGGGGAACAAGGATGCCAGACAGAAGAGGCAAGGCAGGTGCAGAGTCTTGGTTCCATCAAGGTCAAAGGGCATCAAATAATAGTTGAAACAGCAAGGCAGGAGGGTGGTGACCTCGAAATACCCTGGGGATGCTGAGGACCACACCGGCAGTGCCTCGCACCTCGCCCTGTGCATAGCACGTGCACCAGGCTCGAAGTGCACACACACCAGCGAAGGGGYCCAGGGGACTCCCGGGGCGCTCTAAAGGGACGCCCAGGGCGGGGCGCGCAGGCGCGTTGAGGCCTCAAGCCCCAGGGGGCGGGCGGGTGCGCGCGCTCCCTCGCGCACGCGCGCACGGAGGGGGCGACGGCCGCGGTGACGCTGAGGCGGCGGGCGGGCGGCGGCGCGTGAGGCGCGCGATTCTCCGTGTCTTGGGAGCAGTGTCCTGGCCCCCGCCGTTCCCGCCGCCGCCATGTCGGGCCGGTCGGTCCGGGCTGAGACCCGCAGCCGGGCCAAGGACGACATCAAGAAGGTGATGGCGGCCATCGAGAAAGTGCGGAAATGGTGAGGGGCGGGAGCCAGCGGTTCTGGCGGGGAACTCGGGCCCAGACCCAGAGGAGCGCGGGACTGGCGGGCAGGGTGGGAGCTGAGCGGCCGGAGCTGGGGGAGGGGGGGCGTAGGAGAAGGCGGGAGGAGGGTGCGCTGGCGTCCGCGTGAGGTCAGAGGGCGCCCCGGACGCGGCCAATCAGCGGCTTCCTGGCTCGCGGGCCCGCCCACCTGCCGCGGTCGCGGGCGTCGGGAGGCGCTTCCGGCTTCCGGACGCGGAGTCCTGTGCTGCAGTGGGGTTTCGTTGCCTACTTGCCGCTTGTCCGCGGTGGAGAGCCGCGGTGGAGTGGCCCGCCGGGCTGCGCGCAGTGCTTGGGAAGCCGCCGGAGATTGCGAAGTTTCGGGGCAGATGGCGCACTCCAGGAGCTGGCGCGGTCCTGAGGTGGAAACCCTGCGCTCCCGAGACCCGGCTCCGAGTGGCTTGGAAACGGCTCTGACGTCGGCCGAGCGCCCGTCTTGTTATCAGGAGCTTCACCCGTTAGATTTCCAGTTCGAGGCCAGCCTGGGAACTTAGATTCTGCCTCGACAAACAAAAAGGGCTGGGGATGTCGCTCGGCGACTGAGCGCCCCTGGGTCCAGGCCCCCACCCTGAAGACAGGGCAGCGTTGGCTTTCTCCCCAGGAGCCTTCCAGCCGCTGAGATTTAGTGCAAATATGAAGCAATTCTTGGCTTCCTTGCCCGGGGCGTGTGACATACCTGTGATCGCAGCCGCTGGGGAGGCTGGAGGATCCCAAGTTCTAGGTCAGTGTGAGCAGTTTATCGAGACCTTGCCTCAAAATGTCAGAGAGGGGCTAGGGATGCAGCTCAGCGTTCAAGGTTCTGGGTTCAGTCTCTAGTAGAACCGCAGAAATAATTAAGTAATAATAGATCATGGCTTCCCTCTCCACATGGAATCCTCCTAGGTTTTGGTGAGACCTAAGAGCCCACGATTCTCTTCCTTGCCGTCATTGTTCCAGCGGTCTATGCCATAGGGCTCTCCTCTCCCGCCTGGAACTCCACGCCTTCCCTGGTGGATCATCCTGCTGCTCCTCTTGCTCATCGTCCAGTTCGGGTCGTGTTTGCTTAATTACATTTTACTTACTTCAAGTACTAGAGCGATTTTTTAGAAATCTTTCTAGTCCTAGATGAATACAATCCTGTGTTTTGTTTCTTTTTATGTGGTGCTGAGGATCGAACCCAGGGCTTCACGTGCTAGGCAAGCACTCTGCCACTGAGCTACAACCCAGTCTGGAGTGATCTTTTTAAAGTGTACTATAACACCCTTCTGCTTCCAAAGTAATGCTTAGAGGCCTCTTATTTTATGATAAAGACCAAAAAAGGTACTGCCTCTTTCTTAGGATGCTGATACCATACTTCTGTTCCTGATGCTGGGTATCCTCCTCTCTCCTCCTTGCCTAATTAATTTCTGGCTCTGCTCCAAAGTTTATTTTTCAGGGTCAGCAACTCCCCCCCACCACCACATTTTTTTTAAATTTGTGCATTATAGTTTTTTTTGGGGGGGGTACTGGGAGTTGAACTCATGAACACTCAAATCACTGAGCCACATACCCAGCCCTATTTTTGTATTTTATTTAGATACAGGGTGTCACTGAGTTGCTTAGTGCCTTGATGTTGTTGACTGTTGCTTTGAACTTGAAATCCTCCTGTCTCAGCCTCCCAAGCTGCTGGGATTACAGGCTTGCACCACCACACCTGGCTGTGATGATTTTTAACATATAAAAATGGTTATTTAGCCAGGCAGCGTACACTTGCATAGTCCCAGCTACTAGGGAGGCTGAGGCAGGAGGATCTTTTAACCCCAGGTGTTTGGGGCTAGCCTGGGCAACATAGAAAGACTGCTTCAGAAAAGAAAGGGTCTGTAGGCCATGTGATGCATCCCTGGGCCCTACCACAGGCTCCTGGAGTGGTCTGTTGGGAAACTAACTCCAGTTTACTAAGTCTTCGTTTTTCTTTGTTATGTCACAGTCTCTCAAATTTTTGTGTCATTATTTGCTGAACAGAACAGCAGTTACTTTTTTGGCTTTTTTGTAACTTCAAATCAGACTTAAAACTTTCAGATGCAGTGGGACAAACCTGTTTCCTTAAGAGGCTGAGGCAGAAAGATCACAAGTTCCAGGCCAGCCTGGGCTTGCAGAAGTAATTCTAGAACAAGGGAGTGCCTTTATTACATTTCCTTTACGCACATGGGTTCACAATTCTTAAAGTATATTGAAGGCGCGAGTTCAGAACAGTGAATTTAGTTTAATCTGGACTACTTGTGAGACTTTAAATAATGACCTATGGAGTGACTGTGGGCAAGACAGTCGTTCCACCTTATGTCTTTGCTTACTTTGTGGGTATATAGCATCCACCTTATCAGAAAGGCTGAGAGGGTTTTCTATAGAGCTTTGATCCTCAAGGTGTATTTCTTCTTTATTTAACCTTTTTTCTTTTTTTTTTTTTTTTTTGTAGATGGACACAATATCTTTATTTATTTTTACATGCTACTGAGGATTGAACCCAGTGCCTCATATATGCAAGTCTTGCACTCTACCACTGAGCCACGACCCCAGCCCCTAATCTTTTTTTTTTTTAATTTTTTTAATATTTATTTCTCAGTTTTCGGCGGACACAACATCTTTGTTTGTATGTGGTGCTGAGGATCGAACCCGGGCCGCACGCATACCAGGCGAGCGTGCTACCGCTTGAGCCACATCCCCAGCCCCATTTTTTTTTTTTAATATTTACTTTTTGGTTGTAGTTGGACACAGTACTTTATGTGGTGCTGAGGATCAAACCCAAGGCCTCACATGTGCTAGGCAAGCGCTCTATTGCTGAACCACAATCCCAGCCCTTTATATAGTCTTGACAACCCAGAATGGGAAGGGATCCTCCCATTTCCACTGTCATTGCTCCCCCTCACCTCCTACCCTTGAAGCAGGAGTGTCTTGTGATTGTTTATCCCTTGGAGGGACTTCTGAATGGAAGACAGAGAAGAGGAGCAGTGTGGGATTAACCTAGAGAGATTTGAAGAGATTATTTCTAAAATTATCAGCCTTCTTTTTAAGTTTTTTTTTAATATTTATTTTTTAGTTGTAGTTGGACACAATACCTTTATTTCACTTATTTATTTTTATGTGGTGCTGAGGATCGAACCCAGGGTTTTGTACATGCAAGGCGAGTGCTTTACTGCTGAGCCCCAGCCCTAGCCTCAGCCCCTTAAAATTTTTAATTTAAAAAAATCTGTCCTAGCTACCCACAGTGGCACATGCCTATATTCAGTACACTCAGGAGGTGGAGGCAGGAAGATTGTAAGTTGGAGGCCAACCTCAGCAATTTAGTGAAACCGTATCTAAAGAAATAAAAAGGGGGCTGGGGTTATGGCTCAGTGGTAGAGTGCTTGCCTAGCATGTGTGAGGCGCTGGATTAGATCCTCAGCACCACATTAAAAAAAAAAAAAAAAAGGTATTGTATCCAACTACAACTAAAAAAAATATTAAAAATAAAAAAGTCCTGGTATGGTGGTGCAGGCATGTAATCCCAGCAGCTTGGGAGACTGAGACAGGAAAATCATGAGTTCAAAGCCAGCCTCGGCACCAGTGAGGTGCTAAGCAACTCAGTAGACCTGGTCTCTAAATAAAATACAAAATAGGGCTGGGGATGTGGATCCGTGGCCAAGTGCTCCTGAGTTCAATCCCCACTACTCAAAAAAATAAAATGAAATAGGGTTGGGGATGTGGCTCAGTTGGTAGAGTGCTTGCCTCACATGCACAAGTCCCTGGGTTCAATCCCCAGAAACACCAAAATATAAAAAGGGCTGAGGATGTAGCTGAGTGGTAAAGTGCCCCCTAGGTTCACTCCTCTGTACTGCAAAAAAACCAAATAAATAAAAGTGTGTGTGGGCAGATTTCTTAACCTTTCTTTAGCCCTGTCATCCATACTTGGGTAATTGATGATTTCTTATACCCCAAACACAGCTTCGGTTATAATTTGACAGATAAGAAATTTTGAAGGCATTTCAGAGTGAAGGAATAATCTGCTGAGAAATAAAAAAGCACAAGTTAATGAACAGAAAATCTGTTTATTGTTTTATTAGTTATAAGAAATGTCTTTCTTGTAGGGAGAAAAAATGGGTGACTGTGGGTGACACATCCCTTAGGATATTTAAGTGGGTTCCTGTGACAGACAGCAAGGAGGTAAGTGTGGAAGAAAATCAAAACAACAAAAAAGGTACCCATTCTTTCTTTGATTACATCTTATTTATAAACAAACTTACTTGCACAAAATTGAGTTGAAGATGATACTTCAGGTACTCTTTGTCATTGGTCCATGCAAGGCCACTAGTATTTTCTGCCTTTGTTCACTTCCTGTGATCCATTTGACGTTTCCAGGTCTTGACAGACTGCTCCCAGGCCTGCTTCCCATGTTTGTAAGTATAGTTATATGGACCCACAACTGTGCCAGTGACTTATTTTATTCCTTGTTGTTCGTAGGTGGTTTTGAGCCACAGTGGCATAGCTGTATAGTTGCTGTAAGACCTGACGGCTCACAAAACCTAAAATATTTATTCTCTGATCCTTGGAGGTTTGGCTCAGTGGTAGAGTACATGCCTAGCATGCTTAAGACCATGGCCTCCTTTCCACCATCACAAGAAAACAAAAAAAGTGTACTGACTGATGCTTTTATCTGATTGGCTACTGATTGCAGTGTGTGTATTATATGTATAAATACATACCTTTTTGATTCTGATAAATGCCTTATTCATCATCCCTCTGTTGATTTGGATACCTATAAATTATTGAAAAATACATAACATTGTTTATATGTGTATTGTTTTCAAAACATCCATCTGTTTACATCTGTAAACCATTTTTCCTTCTCTTTCATTCAGCTGTGATCTCAAGAACTTGCCACATATCTGTAAATGTGGACACTTTTGTATTGTGTCCTCTTAAGTGCAGTGATCACAGCTGCACGTTCCCTGCATCACAAACACCCACATTACCTCCAACCTTTTTTTCCCCTAAATTTTTTTTTTTTTTTTTTTTTTTTTTTTTTAATTTTGAATGTAAAACAGAGAGAAGGGGCTGGGAATGTAACTCAGTGCTTGTCTGGCCTGCATGAGGTCCTGGGTTCCATCCCCAGCACTGAAAACATACACACACATAGGAAAGTACAGTTGTACAGTCTAATAAATAAATACAAAACTAATATTCTTGTAAAAACTACCCAGGTCAAACAATAGAGTATTACCTAGGCTGGGTGCACACCTGTAATCCCAGTGGCTTGGGAGGCTGAGGCAGAAGGATCACAAATTCAAAGCCAACCTCAGCAGTTTAGCAAAGCTCTAAGTAACTTAGTGAGATCCGATCTCTAAATAAAAATACAAGAAAGGGCCTGAGGATATGGCTCAGTAGTTAAGAGCGTTCCTACGTTCAATCCCTGGTACCAAAATAAATAAATATGTAATAAAAATAATAAGTAATAAAAAGGACTGGGAGTGTTGCTCAACAATAAAGTGCTCCTTGGTTTAGTTCCAAAAAGGAAAAAAAAGGAGTGGGGATGTAGTTCAGTGGTTCTGTCCCCAGTATTACCAAAAACAAAAGAAAACACTGCCAACTCTTTTTAGCACCATCCTTCCTACCCTCTAGAGGAAATCAGTCTCCTGCTTTGGCTTTTCTTTGCACTTCTCTAGTCATTTACAAATGTTTTTTCCTTTTTTGGGCAGGGGTGCAGGGGCGAGTTAGTACTGAGAGTTGAACCCAGAGATGCTCTACCTCTGAGCTGTGTCTATCCATTTCTTTTATTCTTTTGATACCTGGGATTGAACCCAGGGGCACTCTACCACTGAGTCACATCCCCAGCCCTATTTTGTATTTTATTTAGAGATAGAGTCTCACTGAGTTGCTTAGTAGCTCACTTTTGCTGAGGCTGGCTTTAAACTCAGGATCCTCTTATCTCAGCCTCCCCAACTGCTGGGATTACAGGCCTGTGCCACTGTACCTAGCTTTTTTTTTTTTTTAAGTTGTTATATATATATTTAAGTTGTTGATAGATCTTTATTTTATTTATATATGGTACTGAGAATTGAATCCAGTGCCTCACACATGCCAGGCAAGTGCGCTATGCTCAGCCCCAGCCCTAGCCCCCACCTAGCTTTATTTTTTTAAGGGTAGGCTCATCTCTAACTTGCTTCTGTCTTGGCCTCCTGAGTATCTGGGACTGTGGGCATGTGCTGCACCTAGTGGAAGTGTTCAATTTAAATATGGACAAAATAATCGATCTTTGTAATTGATACTTTTAAATTAAGTCTTAACAAATCTTTGCTACCACTGAGGCTACAGAGATATTCTTCCTTATAATCTTCTGTAAGTTAATTGTTTTGTTCCCATTTATGACACATCCAGAACTGATGTTTATGCTTGTGTGAAGGAGAGGCTCCATAGAGGCTTGATATCACTTTTCCATGTGGATACACTTTTCCCCATTTAATAGGAGGAGGTGCTGTTTCCCTCATCCCCCATCCCCAGGCATATTTAGAATGTGGCCAAGCCCTCTGCTCAGTTCTGAAAGTCCTGTAGAGTGAAGCATTAACCGCCCTCTGAGATGCCAGCAGTGCCCTCTGAGGACTGTTGGTTGGGTTTTCAGGTGTACTAGTGTGCTGGTGTTGGTGTGTTTTAAAATCTGTTAGATAATTTAGTTATTTTGCCTTTTTTACTCTATATCCGTCTTTTCATTTTTTCCCCACAATACACTCTCTCGCTTCTAAAATCTTTTAACAATTAGTTTTTGTTAGTAATTTCTTTGGTTTGTTTTCTGTTTTATTAGTTTTTGTCATTGTTGTTATTTTCTTTTTTGTTTTATTGGGTTTACTCTTCTGTTCTTTTTCTTGCCTATTTTATTGAGTATATAACTCCTTTTAAGTAGCTTTTTTTGTTGTTCTGGTTTGGTTTGGTTTTTTTTTTTTTTTTTACACTTCACCCCAGCCCTTTTTTATTTTGAGACAGGATCTCACTAAGTTGCTAGGGCAGGCCTCAAACTTGTGGTCATCTGCCTCAGTAGCTGGGATTATGGGTATGTGCCCCTGTGCTCAGCTTCATTGCTTTAAAAGAAGAAAATACCGCTGGGGTTGTGACTGAGTGGTAGAGCACTTGCCTAGCACTTGTGAAGCTCTGGGTTTGAGCCTCAGTACCACGTAAAAATAAATACCATTGAGTCTATCTACAACTAAAAAAATATTTAATAAAAAAATATACATTCAGATTGAGATGTTGTAATTTCTTAGCTATGTGTAATGAAATTGAAATAAAAAGTTCCAATAATATCAAATATTATGAAAAACTTAGGAATGAATTTGAAAAAAGGATCCTACAGCCAGCCCTGTGCAGCAAAGAGTACAAAACCTTGCTGAGAGAAGTTAATGGAGATGTGGGTCTTTACTGTGTTCATAGGTCAGATCCTCCATGTTCTTAAAATGTCAGTCTTTCCCCCAAGTGATTTAACTTAACCAAGTCTAAATTCTTCGTCTTTTGAAGCTTATAAGAAATCTGGTTGTAAAATTTGTGTTTAACTACAAAGGATTTTCAATAGCCAAAATAACTTAAACAGCAAATTTGGCAAGGTCATACAACCTAACTCTAAGACTTAATACAAAGCTACAGGGCTGGGGATGTGGCTCAAGCGGTAGCGCGCTCGCCTGACATGCGTGCGGCCCGGGTTCGATCCTCAGCACCACATACCAACAAAGATGTTGTGTCCGCCGAGAACTAAAAAATAAATATTAAAAATTCTCTCTCTCTCTCCTCTCTCACTCTCTCTTTAAAAAAAAAAAAAAAATGGCATTGACAGGGTCATTCAGTGGTTTTTCCTAAGTCCCGTTTTATTGTTAGAGACAGATCTTGCTGGATTGTCCAGCTTCATTTCTCTCTTGCTGTGTTACATCTTTCAAGAGTTTTGTCAAGCTGACCAAAGTGACGCACACCTGCAATCTCAGGAACCCTGGTGGGAGGCTGAGGCAGGAGGATTGCAATTCAAGGTTACTGTCAGCAATTTAGTAAGACCATATCTCAAAGGATAAAAATGTGCTGGGGATATAGCTCACTGATGAAGTGCCCCTGGGTTTAATCCCCAGTACCAAAAAAGAAAGAAAAGAGTAGTAGGGTCTCACTAAAATTCTGAGGCTGATCTGGAACTTGCCATCCACCTGCCTCTTCCTCTGGAGTCACTGGAATTACAGGTATGTGCCACCGCACCTATTTCTTAACCTCTCTCTCTCCTGTTTCATCTCTTGTCTTTTCCTAACACATTCTGAGTTTCTGTGGAGCCAGTTTTCACTCATTAGGCTTTTCTCTAGTTGTATCTATTTCTTTCTTTTTTCCTTTTTTTAGTTGTAGTTGGACACAACACCTTTATTTTATTTACTTATTTTTATGTGATGCTGAGGTTCGAACGCAGGGCCTTGCGTGGGCTAGGTAAGTGCTCTACTGCTCAGCTCCAGCTCCAGCCCCAGTTGTATCTATTTCTGCTTACACTCACTTTATTTTTGACAATTACATTCTTTTTTTCTTTTTCCAATTTATTTTATTTTTTATTTTTTGCAGGGGGATGGTACCAGGGATTGGATTCCGGGGCACTCAACCACTGAGCCACATCCCCAGCCCTATTTTGTATTTTATTTAGAGACAGGGTCTCACTGAGTTGCTTAGCGCCCTGCTGTTGTTGAGACTGGCTTTGAACTCAGGATCCTCCTGTGTCAGCCTCCCTAGCCTCTGGGATTACAGAAGTGCTGACAATTACACTCTTTACTGCCAGATTTCCTGTTTGCTGTGTCACCTGTACCTTCCCCAGAGGATTTACTGTTTAACTTGGTCCTTCTGCCCCATTAGTCTGCTTAGGCTCTAGGCTGTGATTTGTTCTTTTGTGGCTTCATGGTCCTCCAGTTCCTGGAGTTTTTTGGGGGGCTAGTACTGGTTATTGAACTCAGGGGCACTTGACCACTGAGCCATGTGCCTAGCCCTTTTTTATATTTTATTAGAGACAGGGTCTCACTGAGTTGCTTGGGGCCTCTCTAAATTGCTGAGGCTGGCTTTCAACTCTCTATTCTCCTGCCTCAGCCTCCTGAGCCGCTGGGATTACAGGTGTGGGCCACCAGGCCCCACCATGCCTAGAATTTTTGCTGTGCACTTACTTTTTGTTG